CATCTCAAAATTATAAATGCCACGTGCCAGGATGTATACCGGAGATAATCATAAAGTTCAGACAGGCGTTCTTATATTCTGTAAGAAAGATTAAATTAAGAAATGCTAACATAAGCAAGATGAAATATATTTAAAACACACCAAACAATTTTTGAGGGCGTATATGAACAGATTCAATTTATTGTGTGCATATATTTTCTCTGTGTGCGTGTTTCCCAAAGGTGGGGGAAAAACCCATTTTGATAAAGAATTATTGCTGTGTAAAAGTACAGGAATATTTCATTGGTCATAAAATTTATTGACAGGCACTTTCAGCTTTTAATTCATTTCTGAAAATGGGCATTAGTTTATTCATATTGCCAGTATAGAATCATTTCACATGTGGCCATATCCATAGCATTCATCTTGTCAACAGGTAGCTACTGCTAAAAGAACTCCCTCTGGGATTTAACAAAAACAAACACGTGCAGAGGGTGTGCATTTGTTTTGCTCAAGAATTACTGCATCGAGGAGGAAGGTAACTGAGAAAAGAGAACAACTGCTAGATGCTTCTTTTTAACACAAGGAAATCCTGTGCTGTTTTTCTCTTTACAGGCAAAGAGCATGCATTTGGAATCAGTTTGCTACAACTTAAAATGACTTCACTGCATTCTAAACCATCCTGGCTAAACTGAGACAAGTGGCCACTCCATTTTGTTAGGGAGCACAAGGGCTATGCTCTGACAAGGCAGAACAGAGTCCCCATGGCAATATCACTAATTGTGTGTAAGATACACAAGGCATATCTGAACAAGTTTTTTTTTTTTTTTAAATTGTGATGAAAACTAGAAGCTCTTTTTCCCAACATACTTCATCAAACTATTTACAACCTCTGTAAAATTTGTGAGTTTGAAAATACTTTTTTCCACTATCACATATGTTACTAATACAGTAAAATATCTTCACTCTATTTTTTAAGATGCAGTATCCTATTTCATTTTCTTATGAAAATCTGAATTTCTATTGCAATTGCACAGTATTTAGCATATTTAAAGTACCAATGGACATGGGTTGCTAAACAGACATTCTATAATGAAACTGTGAAAATATAGCATTTAAAATTTTTATGTACACTTCTTAACTATAAAATGCAGGCAAAGTCATATATAGCATTATAAGCTGATTCCCTAATAAGGTAAATAACTTACATTTCTAGACAGCATGGATTATTACAAATTCATTCTTTTTAAAAAAGTCCTTTGTTGATATTTATTAGTCCACTGGCTGCTGCATATACAAGTGTGTATACAGGTGTGCATGTGTTGGGGGTGCCAGGACAGGTAAGTGGAAGGCATTGTGGGGATATGGAGAAATGTGATATGGAAGACATGGCTTACCAAACCCCTTTTCTAAACCAAACCAAATCAAATGGAAACATCTTTTGTGTGTGTGAAATGCACTACCTCAGAAAAGTTGAAGGAAGAGATCTGATCAATGAAGTTGTAAAATACATTTACCTCCTAAATTTACAGACTTAAACAGTAAGGAGTAAAATCTGAGATTGGATTATGAACTATGAATATTAAGGCTTCCTAGCCCTACTAAGATTCACATGAGTTATCTCACGCTCAATCCTTTACAAAGACTGTAACTCAACATATCACGAATGCTGGTATTCTTAACACTGCTGAAATTCTGTCAGTCCTTACTATAAATATTAAGACACCTTTATAACAACATCATGGCTACACTTCTAAGCAGTCATAACAATATAACAAAGGCGTATTAATACATTTGAAGGCCTCACCTCACCAGATTTACTCAGCTGCAACTTTGGTAAGTATAATAAATTAAGTACAGAGTAAGGAATACTGCATCTTCATCCATATACATGTTATCACTCTAATGAACTGATTTCAAAGTGCAGAACTGTATTTATGTTGAAAACACAAATAGCAATTTGAAGTTAAAACAACTGCATAAAAATGAACACAATCTTTGTATAAGCTGATCCAAATTTCAACCATAATGAGAATGGCCTTTTTAATCATCTAGAACTGGCATTTGTAAACACTGTAGTATTTTGCAAGTTTTTTTCACCTGAAGCTCCTCTTTCTATTTTCCACTTAAACTTTAAAGTGAACAAAAGTGCTCTTTTTTTTAATAAAAAATGTGGTTTGTGTTACTGCTATTCAACTGCCTTTGAAAATAAATGTCCCATAGTGTTCCATAAAAGTAATTCCAGGCAACAGTGTAATTTTATGGTAAAGCCATTAGAAATTTCACTCTAAATGCCTTAATAAAACTTAAGACAAGTTATCAAGCAGGCTTCTCAAAGTCCACATGCAGTTGATGGGATGGGGCTGGAATTAGATGGGGAAGTGTGAATCTTTACCCAAACAACCTAAGATCAGAATATGAGGAGGGAATCTATTAAAACTTCAATGTCTGAACTTCTTAACTTTTCAAATAACATTAACTTCCTTGAAATCAATCTCTACAATGCAAAGAGACAGTCAGGTCAACTGTAGCTTCCAAAGCCATTATAGCTACCTGCGTCTAAATTCCCAAACATACACATATGCCTAGCTGCAAACTGAATGACTCCAAATTTAACACCAAAGAATGCTTACAGTTAGGGTACAACTGAGAAGTTCTTTGGATTTTACTCCTTTTCTGCTGTTAATCATCTACTGTGCTTTTTAAAACAGGCTAGAACAGACATCAGATGAGATGCAGGAGGCTTTTCCGTGTTTGAACATATTCTTACTTAAAAATGTAATTCCTTCTCTTCCAAACCACCTTCCTTTCTATGGGGAAACACTTGTAGAAAAATTCACCAAGGATTATTTGTTATGTTTCAAGACAAGCCTCAGCTAAGTTTCAGTCTGGGACTACATCAGCAACTCATTCACTACTTGTGCCTGGATTCCCTCCTTAGAAGTATCAATACATCAAAAGGGGGAAATGGTGTAATGCTGACAGGTTCTATCAGTAAACTTACTGTCTCAGTTGGGTTCCCACCTTCAGAAGACAAGCAGACAAGCTCAAGTCCCTTAATTTTTCCTATGCTATTAGAGGGGAGCGGCTCATCTCATTCTGTGCTAAATTTAAATCAAGCTATTATTCAGGAAGCTCCCACTGCCTGTCAGTTCTATAAATTCTAAAAACCATTTCTACCTGTAACACTCTCAGGATCTCTCAGCAGAGAAAAGGACTGGCCCTTCTTATGAGAGAAAGCAGAATTAAATTGTCTGCCCTTCACTAAGTGATTCACCTGTTACCTGCCAACTAAATTCTAGGACTAGGAGAGGGCTTCAGGGCTGTGTTTACCACACTGTGTTCATCATGCTCTGTGTTCTTTGCCACTGACCGGCAACCTACACTGGCCTTTCTATTCAAAATGGTCACAGGCAATGAGATGTAGGAGTTGCTTACAGTACAGGTAAAACTTTCCAGTTGGTGTAAAAGAAAAAAACAAAAAGCTATAAACCCAGTGCTTGGTGGGTTAGTACACTGTGTAGCTACAGAAGCTATTTACCCATAGAACTGCAGCCCTTGTCGGAGGGAAATTGCCTGATGAATTTTTCAGACCTGGCAGAAAATACAAAGCATGTATTTTTGAAGACAGAATTTGACCTGAAAATCATTATGCTCTTGCTTGAATGTTAAAAACATTCCTTTTAATGCCATCCAACACAAGTTATCCTTGTTCCAATGTTTCTAGTTTTTTGCTTCATCAGAATTAAGATTATCTGAATTAGAAGATAATCCTAAAGAGCATAGCTGTAGAACCAGAAATTATTTCAGAATGTTCAAATCTTTAAAAATGAGCTAGTAATATTGTGAGGTTAATTTGTGCAACTCCCCAAATCAAGTGTTTGTAATTAAAATATAATGCAAAGGTCTATGCTGGCAACTTCTTATATCTAAGCTATAAAAGAATCTGAGCAATAACAGCAATGACAATAAAACCTTACCAAGCCCCTTGGCTACCGAAAGCTGAAAAAATTCAGCTTTTAGTGTGGGAAAAAATATGATAATTTTTCTGAAAGAATGCTCATTGGTGATGTATTGCTTTGTTTACTATAGACTCCGCTAGTTGCAAAAAAGGCTCATAACTCAAGGGGGTTTACAGGACTGTAATTTCCTCTCGCTCTCAGCACAGGATGAGTGGGTTCATCCCTGCAGATGCCATTGTATTGGGTCCTAGTATAGTTTAGAAAATGAAATCTATAGAGAAGAACCTATTGGAGAGTCGTTTATCCTTGGCTCTCCAAGGGTGGGAACTAGCACCATGTCAGGCTTTCCTTGGGGAGCATTCCCTTCCCTTCCCACTGACTCAGTTCCAAGGAGAACTGACCCATTCGCCCAAGAGTTAATTCCCAGCTATGCCTCCGTGGCCTCTCTAGTCACCAAATGACTGTTTTCAAACAAGAAAAGGGGGAGCATAATCTTTAATTGTGGTACTCAACCAAGCAGGACAACAAACAGCAGAAAGATTACCTCAGTGCTGTAAATGTAGCCAAGACCTCTAAAATGCTGGGTGTTTTTACAATCCCTTTAGTAAGTATGAAAATTGGTAACGTGAGTCCTCAGTGAAGTGATTGTAGGAGAGTCCTTTTATGCGTTATTGCTTTTCTCCTCAAGAGGCGCATTATTTCCATCTCTGCTTTGTCTGATTTTTTCATGTTCACTGACTTTGCCTGGGCTGCCCCACCTCTTACCTTGGTGCCAGTGTGTCTAAGAAAGCTTTTTTCCCCCCGATTCCTTGTAATCAAATACTAGGGGCAGGAAGAGATGATGCCTAGCTGACAGAACACTGCAATTTGAAGTGGGGCAGTAGTTTTTTTAGACAGGCTCTTCCTATTCAACTACAGAACGACTCTGTGCCCGTCCACGCTAGGGCAGACACCAAGACTAGACTCCAGCTGAAATGTCGCTGCCCCTCTGCTCAAACAGATGAACAAAACAGAAGCAGAACAAAACAAAAACAATCAACAACAAACAGATGAAAAGAATCACTGTTGGTTTTCTCCAGGGCATGGCATAATGACAAGTCGCAGGTGATATCTAGTGGTCACCATCACTATTGCAAAAGGGCTGCCTGAGCACTCCTTTCTTTTCAGGTAATGGAACCTCTCCAAAAGTGTCTTCTTTTCTACTTTCAGGCTGCTTGCTGGTAACAGATTGGATGTGGGTTCTATTAATATCTTACTTGTAAAAAGGGGTTCAGGGGTGGGATGATGGGAGAATAATCCAAATTTACAAGGTCTTGCTCTAGCCATCAATTTGTGGTAGATGACCTTTAAAAGTATCAATAACAAAATGTCTGACACCTCAGAAAATGTACAAACTACAAACATCTTGCAATGGCAGAGGACACAGCACGGAAAACAATGCCTGTCTCTTCAGCATCTGTGTCACCGATCTCCCAGGCCAGCGTGAAGTCGTTTCTTGTGTAGTCGTGACGGGGGGCGGGGAGAGGGGGTTACCTTCAGACCGAAAGAAGTGTTACCACTTCTTATTTCCTGCTCTGCTTTCAGACATCGTGGGATGGTGATGCCCTTTTATGTCAACACTGTGAAGGGGATCCAGCCCTGCTGAATGGGGTGCCGCTAAGAGATCCAGCTCTTACGCTCAGCTGGACAGGGAGCCTTCCTCACACCAGCATATGCCTCCGGCGGTGCAGTGCCAAGTGATCTGACCGGGAGAAGCTGCGGTCACAGTCTGCGCATTTGAATGGCTTGACTCCCGTGTGTTTGCGGTAATGCCTCGTCAGTTCATCCGAACGAGCGAACTTCCAGGTGCAGCCTTCCCAGGTACACTTGTAGGGCTTCTCTCCTGGAAGAGACAAAGGGACAGAACGCTGGGCTCCATCATTTCTCCTGAGCAATCTGGCCAACGCGATTATCTGGGGACATGACTGTTCTCAGTGGATTTTCCGTCTGGGGGTCCTTTGTGAGGAAACCTAACTACCCCGCCAGCAGCTTTTGGGCTGCACAGATGGGGGTTTCAATCTACTCTCTCTTGCTGTGACAATGGGGAGGTTACTTAACACTTGCATCTTCAGTTATGGGTAAGTTACTTTGCAGTCAAACGATCAGAAGGCATAGACTGATAACTCTGGGGTATAATCACCACGGGTAGACTAGAAAGGAATGGGAGAAAGCTCTACCTAGGCTGATGTGGCTAAAGGATTGAAACGCATAAAGAATTATAAAGGGTAATGATTTGTATGTTTTGTTGCAATACTGCTCCCAAAAGTGCATTGCTTAGATATTTAAAGGCTATTTTAGGGTACAGTGTCCTTTCATCAGTCACACAAAATTTCATTAAAAGGTAAAGCACCCTACCACCCCCATAAATTAGGTACTAAGTACTTATTATTTATAAATAGTTATTATTTATATTATGTATAAACTACTGTTGTCCATGGGGTCGCAAAGAGTTGGGCATGACTTAGCAGTTAAATAACAATAAACAACTGTTTGTCTACTGGGAGAGAATCCTAGATATCTCAGTAGTGTGAAGTTTAAATGTCTTCTTCAGGGACTTAAGAATTAGGGCAAGTCCTGAGGAATCATCAGGTTGGTCTGAGTGTTGAAACCCACAGTAAAAAACAGTCTGAAGAAGTATGTAATTTGACCACATCCCTCAATCAACTTGTAAAGACAGTAAAATATGCAAAGGCTTTGTTGGGAAGAGATACTCTATCCGTTGTCCAAATGAATTCCCGGGGGAGAGGGACAATAGTTGACCCAGGTGTGCTTTTTCCTGGCTCTCATTCAGAATGGAAGCCCTGTCCCCAGGTAACCCCACAAGAACTGAGCTCTTTTCTGCCCCCTTCATCCAGTAGTTAACCACACACTGCTTGGCCCTATGTGGAGTTTGGCGAAAAGGCCTAAGGCAGGGAGCAGAGCTACTGGCTGACATCAACATGTGTGTGTGCTCAGTCAGGTCCAGTTCTTTGCAATCCCATGGACTATAGCCCACCAGGTTCCTCTGTCCATGGGATTTCCCAGGCAAGAATACTGCAGTGGGTTGCCATTTCCTTCTCCAGATGATCTTCCTGACCCAAGGATTGAACCCGTGTCTCTGGTGCTCCTGCTTTGGTAGGCAGATTCTTTATACAACTGAGCCATATGACTTTTAGACCTCAAGATACAGAGCTGCAATCCCCTGAAAGAGGGCATGGCAACCCACTCCAGTACCCTTTCCTGGAGAATCCCAGGGACAGAGGAGCCTGGCAGGCTACAGTCCACGGGATCACAAAAGAGTTGGACACGACTTTAGTGACTAAGCACGCACACGTACAGAGTTGCAAAGTGAGTTTTGTTAAATCCATTTTACAGGTGATAAAACTGAGGATGAACGTAGTAAATAATTTGCCTGAAGCCAGTAAACAGATGTGTTTGGTTCCAAATTCAGTGTTTTTCACTGTGCTCCAAATTCTTTTTCCCATCGAAACTTTGTCACATCCTCAGATAATGCTGATTCTACCTTCTTAGATACTTTCTGATTATTCAACTATTAAATCTATTAAGTCACCTATCACAATATATCATACAGATTTTGTCTAGATGCTTTTCCCCTTTACCACTTTCTGAATACATAGAGATTAAGAGTCACACATCTATTTCTGTATCCTCAGAGCTTAGAGTATGTGTCAAATAGTGTTTGAATAAATTAATAAAACTGCAACATAAACACAGACATGCTCACACAGAGGTGTGTACACAGGCAACTACTAGGCCCTGTAAATGAGATGTACAAGTCATGCCTACATGGGAAAACTAGACTGAACCAGACTCAGCAGTTTCTGTTCAACTGTTAAATGAATGTGAACCATATAGGTCCTTTTGGGATCAAGTGGCCCTTTCCCAGAACCGTGTGAATAGGACACCTCAGTTAACTCTAGAAATACTGGTGCACTAACTGTGATCCACAGAAAGCTCCAGGTTACTCCAAAAGGGCTCCTGTCAAGTCAAATGCCTAATGACCAGCTTAATCCAAAACCTCACTTCTGACTCATTCTGGATGTTCTCTAGACAAAAATCTGCAGTAACAGGTATTAACTGATCAGAATTTAACAGAATTTTTTTTTTTTTTTAAGTCAGCAAAACCCATAACTTAAGAAGATTGGCAGTCCACTATACAGGCTATCCAGGCTTCCCAAGTGGCTTTGTGATACAGAATCTGTCTGTGATGTAGGAGATGTGGGTTTGATCCCTGGGTCAGGAAGATCCCCTGGAGGAGGAAATGGCAACCCAATCCAGGGCTCCTGCCTTGAAAATTCCAGGGACAGAGAAGCCTGGTGGGCTATAGTTCATAGGGTTGGAAAGAGTTGGCTATGACTAAGCATGCATGCACATACAGTATATCCATGGCAACTGCTAAAATACTTTTAGTGACATGTCATCACTACAAGCTTTTGAAGTTTACATCATGAACACAGGTTCCACTAAGCTGAACTTGATAAAAATCTTATCTTCAAAAGCACATTCATTTTTCGGGCACTAAGCTCTGCTCACTGAGTCTCTGTCACCAACAGGCATCTCCTAGATATCTCTTGTTGTGTATGGAACCAGCTACAATGAGTACAGGTCTAAGAAGAAAAGAATAAAAAAAACTTAATTGAGGAAAAGCACTGCTTAGTTGTGTGCTGGGAGGACACGTGTATCTTGCTGGGAAAGTGCAGTATGTGCATGACCAGGGTTAGAAAAGCCGCCATACTCTCACCTTGCCACTGCAGTTAAAGGAGAGGAAGGGGCCCCAGACCTGGGATGGGCCTGGAAGTAAGGAGAGGTAACAGAAGGAGACAGGCTTCGGTTTCAGAGCAAGAAGGATGCTAGAGGCTGGCACGGCCACCACGGGGACAGTCTGTTGTCTCAGGGGCTCTCTGAATTTCCTTGTACACCCAATTTAGGCACTTATTTTCTCCAGTTTCTTCCTCCAAATTATAACAGACATACTCTTACTTTCAATTTGACTGTTTAATAATGGTACTTGTGCCCTTTCCACTTGAAAATCTATAGGAGGTGTGAGAAACTCTGGCCCCCAGGCCAAATCCAGTCGGTGGCCTGTTTTGTGCAACTTGCAAGCTAAGAACAATTTTCACACTTTTACATCATTGAAGGAAAAACAAACAAACAAAAAACACAAAAGAGGGCTATTTCATGGCATGTGAAAATCATATGAGATTCAAATTTTAGTGTTCATGGATAAGTTTTTATTGGAACACCGTCTCACTCACTTGTTTGCATATTGTTTATGGCTGTTTTTCAGTAAGAGTGAAATTGAGCATTGCAGTAAGAAGGTATGACCTGCAATATCTAAGAGGTTTACTACAGGAAGTTTGCTGACCCTTGATGTAAGTGAAGGGTACCTCAGTTTGGGGCAGGCTTTCTGATATGTTAACTTAATCAGGTTATATAACATACATTGCTAGTCTGGGATGGGTAGATGAGGGAATATTTTGGTGATAAAATAATCACTTACTCTCAACTCAGGATCCTTGATTAAAATTCTAACAGTCCTCTCAGCAATGAACACACGTGACATTTCATGTCCATTGCTTTAAACTGAAGGTTCTGGTTCACGAAATGAGTGGTTCTCTAAAAAGCCTCACCCAATTCCATCATGGTTTTAAAAGTCTTCAGGATCTCTTCTGCTCATTATAAAAGCACAATAATGAGTAAATCTTCCCTATGAGGATGAGTGGGGTCAGGAACATCTCTGTATATTTTAGCTGGTAACCAAAACAGCACTGATTCTACAGTGATGGAGCCCCACCCAACTCTATCACCTTTCAATACAGTTGTGCTACCACGACCACCAGGCATGATGAGGAACTATCATTCTACTGAGTCTGGAAAGGAGGACACACACACAAGGAAGGATCAGAAAATAGGAGCTCAGATGTTTGGCATCATTTCTCAGGTGGACATTTTAAAAGAGAAGCAGAGAAAGCAACAAAATGGCAAGGATTTCTGTGGGCCCACTAATATGAAGCAGGAAACTTAGTGCAAAATCTGGAAGTATTCTGTGAGGTGGAATCAGGTACAATAATGATCATGAAAGACAAGGCCGCCAAAATATTTAAGAGGCAGATATAAACCAATAACCCAGAATAAAACCAATGAAAATAATATATAAGCTTATAAGTTATTAGGGGGTAAGTGGTTAATGCATGCGTGCTCACTCGTGTCATGTCCCACTCTTTGTAACCCCACAGACGATAGCCTGGCAGGCTTCTCTGCCCATGGAATTTTCAGACAAGAATACTGGAGTGGGCTGCCATTTCCTCCTCCAGGGGATCTTCCGGACCCAGGGATCAAACCTGCATCTCCTACATTGGCAGGTGGATTCTTTACCACTGAGAAGAATATAAAGTGGTGAATGAATGCATAAAAAAAATAATGGAAATATTCTCATCTGGGGTGGGGAGGGTCAGGGAGAACCTGTATCAGAAAATAGTAAACAATTATGTGAGCAGTAGATGAATTTTCCTTGAAACTTTCCTTACAAAAATGTATATTTTCTTTTTAATATTCAGAATTATTTCTTGTACAGTATTTCTTATACCAACTTCCTCATTAATAAAACAAGAGTTTAGGTATTCTATCTCCACACTTCGAAAAAAGAAGAGGGGAGAAAAAGAAAATAAGATCTTCAAATTTCTCTTCACAACTAGAGGCTGAGCTCTGGGGGTGAAGGGAACAAGACGGCTGTTTGGACCAGGTAGAGAGTAGGCTTCTGCTCCTTCCTCAAGACCGACCTAGGTTTCTGTCGTATCTGCTGAGTGCCCAGCATTTCATTAAAAAATAAAGATCAATCAATGC